GTTGGTTGGTTGGTTGGTTGGTAAGTGATAAACTTCTACATCGCTCAACCGATCGTGATGAAACTTGACATGTATAAGTAATTTTTCATAGAGAAGGTTTTCAGGCTATCAATTTTTCTGTAACTCGCCAATAGATGGCACTGTAGAACAATTTTCACTGTTCGTTGATTCTGATTCTGTCAAAACACTGGAACAGCAGCACAGCAACACAGTACTAGTAAAATATAAAATCCGGCCATCATTTAATTCTTATCGAATATGGTCAATTGTCAATTTGGAGATAAGTTTCATTAATCAATTACGGTTTTGGCATGCATGGCTATGTGTCTTTCATCTTGAGTATCATCTATATAAGATTCGTTATATTCAAATCATTCTATAAATTAATGTTTGAGATATTTTATCACAATGAATTACGAGGCAAAATCAAGTCTCATAGACTTGTTCACGAAAAACATTCCAATCACGATCAAAATTACTCCCAATGAAATGGTTAAAAGTACAATTACGTTTCATATCACGTTATAGTAGGTACACAGTGAATAGGAATACCAAAAACAGCTCCAAAATTGAGTAAATCAAATCAATTTACAAAATGGTCTTTCATCCTGTTGTACTTTGACTAATTAGGTAACTGTTTAGAAAAAAAGGCTGTGAGATATAAATTTGTAAATTGATTCTTTCTCTTGATTATTTCATTTATTTATTTATAGGTACAGCTGCCAAACTGAGTCATGGCCGGTGAGAAGCCCCTCCCTCAAGATGTGCAGTAGATGTGTAAAAATATGTTTGTTAGATTAAGCTTGTCGCCCACTTGTACGGCACACGGCCCGTCCCGCAAAATACGTATAGGATTGGAACAATGAAAATTAAAGGACAACCGCCCACTGTTCGCCACCGGAAAGGATTCCAGTTCTCCGATCCTGTCCGGCAAATAACGGTACGTGCTGTGACGGACTGGCCAAGTGAGCGCGTCGCCAGCCAGCGCTTGCCAGCATCAACTTGTCCAAACGTGCCTGGAAAGTTTCTGTNTTTTTTGTGAGCAGAACGCATTTCTCTAATAGAGCGAAGATATCTCCGTCGCCATGAGACTATATCTTCTCTTTCTACTAAGACAGATTTACGGGATAGTTTGGCATATATAAATTTTAAATCTTCTTTCATTATTTTATTTAACTTATCTTTGCTCATTTTTGGAGTGAGATCATTATCCATTACTATTGTCCTAATGGATTCGAGGGTTGGCGCTTTATTCTCAAAAAGGAAAGAATGAAAAATGAATTTTTCTGATACTCGTCCAATTAAATTTTTTTTCTACCACGACAATGTACTTTTGGAGCTTGCACAATCCCAGTCACCTTTTATTTTTACGTACAATGCGTTCAATATTCCCGTTAAAAATGAACACTAGGCTACAGCTTTCACTGTACGTAGTGTATTTTTTAAATTTTCGTACACTCTACAGACAATCTGTTTTTCTTCTAAGGACATATAAACTTCCGCTTTCTTTGTATATTACAAACTTTAAATTGCAAACAAAAGTTTTTATTCCTTTTTTCCTGATACTACCTTTGTCATACACTGACCCAAATTTTACGCAGAAACGATTTCTCCCACCGGCAATGACTCAGTTCGGAAGCTGTATAAATGGGATAATTCCCAAAACAATTCTTCTAGTTCCATTTTTTTATATTTTCCAAAATAACAATTTCATTCGAAAAAAACGAAAAATTGCATTATTGGTTTTCCCCGTATAACTCGAGAAGGGCAAGGGTCCCCTTTTTTCCCATTTAACAATGTTTCCACATGATAACAGAAACGGCCTGTATAGTGGATATTTAATCCTTTCAAATTTTCATTGGAGTCTTTTCAGCAAATT